GGGGGAGGGGAAGGAGAAGGGGGAGGGGGAGGCGGAGGGGGAGAAGAAGGGGGAATGGGAGAAGGAGAAGGGGAGGAATATATATATGTTACTCTATATATTACTCTATGAATATATATTACTCTATATATATTACTCTGTGAATATATATATTACTCTGTGAATATATATATTACTCTATGAATATATATTACTCTATATATTACTCTGTGAATATATATTACTCTATATATTACTCTATGAATATATTGTCACAAAGTTATCAGAGCACAAAACCGAAAAAAAAACAAAAGGAAACAAAAAAGATAGCAATTCATTTGTTATCTTCTTACTTACAACTCCCCCTGTTCAGAACCTCTTGCGTACAAGGCCGCCCAGGTGGATGTAGGTTGAGCGGCGGCTGCCCCCACCCCCCTGGGTCATATCGACCCACTTGCACACAGCCAAAGGGCAAAGAGGCAAAGAAAAGAGGAAGGAAACAGCCAAATACAACAAAACAGGGGGCAACAAGCAACAGCACCAAAAACGGATCCTACATGACAAGTCCCACATGCAAGCACCGCCCGTCCTTCACAGGCCAAACGACGGGACAAGACCACCCAGGACAAAACTCGTGTGCAAAAAAAACTATATACAGCAGATAGCCTTATTCGTCATTAAGACGTGGGTATTCCCATTCCTAAACCATTCATGCTCTCATAGGCCGAACAACAAAAAAACACGGATGACTGGTCCCACATGAAAGCACCGCTATGCTCGCCAAAATAGACCGAACAACGGGACAAAACCAACCGGGATGCAGACAAGGGTGCCAAAAAACAAACATAACAGATCCTAGATGACAAATCCCACATGCAAGCACCGCCCCCTACGTCACAGGCCAAACGACGGGACAATGACCAACCAGGATAGCAATCAACACCCTTGCCTGCAAAAAATATACATAAAGACAATCCCAGATGACAGTCCCCACCTAAAAGCACCGGGCCCTTGGATAGGCCAAACAACGGAAACCAGCCAACTATGATGCCAAAAAGATAAAAAACCGGATGACAAGTCCCACATGAAACACCGTCACGTGGACCGAACAACCCACATGAAAACACCACCACGAGAACCGAACAACGAGACAAAACCAACCGGGATGCAGACAAAGAGTGCCAAAAATACCAACAATTCTACCATAACCAACACTTGAAAAAACGGAACCATACAGTAGGTCCGTAACACAAAATACGGCAACACTATTTCCGTCATCAATCCACACGCCCTAACCCATTACGCCAAGCAACCAATAAATGCCCGCGTTCTTTCCATTTGCTTTGTTGTCGGGCGTCCGCGAAACAACAAAGCAAATGGATATCTGCTTCGTTATAAACAAAAAAAAGCAAAATATCAAACCTTTGCATGTACAGGAGGGGAGGCCGATCGGGACCAATTCTGCGGCCCCTTCGCGCACGTCCGCGGACAAGAAGGCATCACTGAGACGACGCTGGCGCCCTCTCTTTCACTTTATTCCGTTTCTTTTTTCCCTTTCTCTTTCCAGTTTTGCACTGTACACACAATATATCCAAGTGTATACTCGAATATACAATTAGATAACTACATTGTGTCCACATACAGTTCACACAGTAAGTTGTCGCACAACCAAAACATATCCTCACACAAACCCCGCAACTCCCAAACCAGGCTGACACAAATTCCTTTCTTTCAAATACTGACATAAACAATTAAAAAGAAAGATGTGCATAGCGCGGCCATCTATAACATGCGCATAACGCTATGCACATCTTATAGATGGCAAGTAACTCCGTGTTTTCTTTCTTTTTTCTTTAGAACTGTTTTGTCTTTTCCTTAGCTGAGCTCTTTTTTCCCTTCAGGTGGTGTTTTCTTATTTTCTCCCCTAGTTGCATTTTTTTTTCTTTTCCTTTTGGCTGTGTTTATCCGCTCGTTGTGCTTTCCCCACCCCCCCCTAGATTCGGACCGATGACACGCTTTGTTTTCCTCTCTCTCCGCTGCTATCTGCTTCGTCCGGCCACCGCTCTCTGCTGTTTCTGCCCGCCCTTTCCACGAAGTTTACTTCTTTTTGTTTGAGGGGGCGGGAGGTGTCCCTCCTTCACCAGTACGCTATTTCATAGGTATATTCATAATTCATAAATAAAGAATCAGCGTTCACAAGAAGAGGCCTAGAGAGATAGGGTACATGACTATCCGAAGCAGTACACGTGTCGAAACGATCTATTGTCTACTGTATTACGCTGTTAAGAGTATAGCTGACAGATGCATGACTAGCACCAGATGGTTTGTTTTTGCTAATCCGGTTATAACTTATATTTGTTTGATGCTTGACGTGCAATTTTGTCGAATAGAAAGAAGATCACCACTGGAAACGTGAGAGCTAGGCCACAGGATAATCTGATTATTACACAATCCTTCTTATGACGAGACGCGGAAATGTCCACATACTTAATGCAAGTGGCAATCTCGGAAAACTCGCCCACGAGAGGCGGTCATCGAGTTCTTCGCCCTCTAATTTTTTCAAATTTTGTTTTTTGAACCTACATAACTACTAAAGACATGAATATGTATAAACGTCGTCACATAAAAAAAAAAAGTAGGCACTACGAGACAAAAGAAACCGGGCGCCAGTGGGGGGCTGGGACAGAGTCTCGCTCGCCGACTCGTTGAAAAAGAAGCGAGCAACTTTGGCGATGTTTCATCCTCGTACTCCTCTCAACTCAGCGACACGTGGCGGCACGAAGCAACAGGTAGCGGGACGGAGCAACACGCAGCAAGAGGTGATACCTGGCACGTGGCAAGAAGCGACGAGTTCCATGGACTCCAACCCCGACGCACTCGGCACTGTTTGGAAGACACGGGATGAGGGAATGGACAAACAACGAATCGGATCAAAGCCAAGTCCAGACAACCGACCTTACATAGACACGTGGCATCTATCTGACATAGACGCGAGGCAAAGGAAGGAAAAAGCTAAACCACGAGGAAGACGATCGAACTCGTCGAAAAACACAAGATGAGGGAACGGACAAAAAAGACGGAAAACACGAGATGAGGAAAAGGACAAAGAACGACCTGAAGGAATGGAGAGGACGCGACTCGAGGAAAAGTTCGTCACCCTCAAGACCACAGACATGGCCAACTGGCAGACAATCCGAACTCAGACACGTGGCAGAGGAAGGACTAAGTTAAGCCACGTGGCAGAGCATCGAACATACACAAAACGTCGCAGAGGAAGGAAAAGGTCAACCCACGTGGCAGGCAATCAATCACACATAGGAACGTGGCAGAGAAAGGAAGAGGACAAGGCTAAGGGATTGTTACACATTTCATGACGGAATGCAAAACTCACCTAAATCCTGATCTTCAATCTCTCTTTCGCAATTGGCACCCGTGTGAGTGCTGGGGCATTTGCAGATAGTCCTGTTGCTCTCAGAGGTTCCGCACTGCCCGCCATTAGCGCACCAGACGTTCTCGTCGCACATCTGGACAGGAGTCGCACACTTGACGCCTTGAAAACTTCCTGTGCAATTACACTTGAACCCATCAGCAATTCGATCGCATATTCCTCCATTCTCGCACCACCACGTGTCATTACATCGGACAGCCGGCGTTTGACAAAGAGTTCCACGGAAGTAATGGGGATTGGTCGCGTTCGCTTCGGGACACGTGCAGACTGGCGGCGCCCTTCCCGCGCCCAAAGGGCCGTCGGTACACTGCCCTCCATTCAAGCATTCGCAAGTCCGAGGAGACTGAACAGAAGGCACCGCAGCAACACCCCCCGGCCCTGCGGGAGTTGCAGTCGAGGAGGCGGAGTTCGGCTCAACACTAATCGCCCAACTAATCAGAAAAAAGGAAAAAAAGGATGATGATAAGAACAGCGACGGTTGAAACTGGAAAAAACGACGCCCGCCGTACTCCATAGCTCACGTTCGCTTCGTCTCACTAGATGATAATAATAAAAGGTTCTGCACAGGGGCAGCTGGAACATCCCGAACACATCAAACAGGACAAAGAAATATCACGGCGTACGTATGTACCTATGTGTGAGTATATATATATATATAGTCTATTATCTACGTGTGTATACATATAAGAATGAATTTAAGGATCGGACATATATGTCTACATAAGGATCGGACAATAGACCGAGCCTATACCGTGGCCGGACCTTCCGCTTGCCCTCAATGTCCACTAAGGCACTCTCGCAACTCCCCCTTCCTCCTCGGCCAGGGATGCCGTTTGCCTCTCTCTCTCTCTCTCTCTCTCTCTCTCTCTCTCTCTCTCTCTCTCTCTCTCTCTCTCTCTCTCTCNCTCTCTCTCTCTCTCTCTCTCTCTCTCTCTCTCTCTCTCTCTCTCTCTCACACACACACACACACACACACACACACACACACACACACACAAAGTTCTTCTTCGACAGTGTCAATCATTGCCCGCCTGCTCGAAGGAAACAACAGCTGAGAGCGGAAGGTCGAGCCGGTCGTCAAGAGATGAGCAATCGAATCTTATTAGGTGAAGACTTGCCCCAGATTGCTGTGGATAGAAGGAATTCCATTTGTCGAACAAACAATCAATCACCCTCCGCCACGCGGCATCGCGAAAAGTCACCAGTTACCCAACCAAGCTCCAGTATGTACCCTCCGATATCGCGCTGTCCCTTGTCGTCTAACGTCCCACAAACCGCGCCCTCCCTCTCTCTCCCAAGAGAATCAATTTGCATGACTGATCGCCACGTAAGCAATTAATCATCAGAACACCACCGCACCAGGCAAGCAGATCGATCGATTGATCCTCGTCCAGCACAACAATGAACCGATTGATAACATCACTCTATTGCTCACAGGGGTTGGACCCTGGCTGTTTCTACACACGTCATCGTAAAAAACTAATACATTGCCACACCGATCTTAATCAATCGATTGATCACTCAATCAATCAATCAATCAATCAGGCAATCGCAATCATAGCGGGATAGAGGGAGATATATATACATATGTGCAGAGCTAATTAAACTAAGCTGCCGGTCAATCACTAACAGAGGAGCCACCTGGATTTTCACCTTGGCTCATTGCACCGGCCACACACCCAATCAAACTGCTAAGAAACGACTTTAGATTTCTGTACCTCGGTGGGGTATAGGTCTCTGTCACTATTTGCTCGCTCGAGCAAAGGTCGTAGCCCGACGGACAGCGGCAGCGGCACGATACGACCGACCTCTTTGGGCGGGAAGCTACTGGTAGTCGCGTCCCGTCCAGGGACCCACATGCGCTGTGTAGGTTAGTTGGGCGCCAAGGGTGACGTCGGGCGGCTGCGGGCATGATGCATCCGGATCGGACGTGCGCACCGTCAACCCGCGCGAATGTGCGAAGAGCGCGCGGTTTCCAAGGGCATACTCACACGGCGACCCCAAATCCGCAAAATATGCGGATTTTGGAAGGACCGATTTGACGTTTTGGGCATGGTTCACGTCACACTGCTGGGACAAGGTCGCGGTCGTCTGGAGAAATGGGGATTTGGTACTTGGCTGGTCACACGGCGCCATCCACAAATTGTGCAAGAACTTTTGTGAACGAATTTTTGCCAATTTTTTAAGAAAAAAGGGCATTTGCGGTCACCTCTGAATCCCTTGCCCCTTGGCTTCCCAGGCCTCTGCCAAATGGGCACAGGAATAGTACATTTGCGAATGACCGGCCTTTTCCCCTCTTTTCGGGGATTTTGGGATTACAAGTGGACCCGCCGCAGCGAAGGACGATGAGAAAAACATACTGTGAAACAGGGCAGCGAAGAATGAAATCACATACTCATGGGACAGGGGGATAGCACAAATATGCCAGCCGAAAAGGTCTTTCCACAGGGTTCACATTTCCCAAGGGACATTTTGAGATACGTTCGGGGGTATTTGGAGGACGACGAAGGTACCCGCTGTCCCTTCTCTTTCTTTCCTTCTCCCACAGACACATACACATACACACACACACATAGGCGCACATACAGGGAAACACACGCGTAGTTGCAGGGGTATATTCGATTGGAGGTTGTGTGAGGCTGGCTGCAGCCTTCGAAAGTTACTTGTTTTCATATTCTCTTTGTCACTTCCCCATTCCCCGTCTTTTTAGAGCTGCTCAGTGTAATGTTCTTTTTTTTTTCTTTTTTTTTTCAATGGACGATTTTTTATTTTATGCGTATGTTTTCGTATTCTCTCTGTCACTTCCCCATTCCCCCCCTTTATAGAGCTGCTCAGCGTAATGTTTTTTTTTTTTTTTTTTCAATGGACCATTTTTGTTTTCATGCATGTCCGTTAAAATTGGAATGATACAGAGATCATTAGCGCAGCGCTTGCGCAATAACCTTTAGCTCAAAATGACCGGCGGCGCGTTTTCCTTGGATTCTCTTTATCCCCAAGGGTTATATGTGCGTATGAAACGAGTGGCCGCGGTTCAGTTTTTTTTATACGCACGTGTAACCGTCAATAAATAGATCATGAGTTGCTTTTTTTTTTTTTTTTTTTTTTTTTTTTTTAGGTTCGAATCTCAAGCCAGCGACCCATGCAGACGACAATTTAAAGCTAAAAATCTCATATTGCAATAACTCTTTTTTTTTTTTTTTCAAAAGTACACGTCGTTGCTGTATATTTGTTAATAGGAGAAACTCATGACGGATCAACCATGCACGTGATGTCCGACTCTTTCCGATCATCCATCCGACCTCTATCTTCGTGAATGAAATCACTTTTTTCCCCGTTCTATTTCTCCCTGCGTCTTTCTCTCTCTCCCATTCTCTCACACACACACACACACACACACACATGTTTAGTAGTGAATATCTCGACGTCTTTCTGATGGCGGTTGCGCAAGGGCAGTCGCGATCGAAGCACTCTCTCTCTCTCCCTCGCTCTCTGTCTGTTACACACACACACACACACACACATACACATACACACACATGCGTAGCAGCGAATGTTTCAACCTTGCAGCGAAAGATTTGATCGATTTCGAGGGAATCTCAAGGGACATTTCGAGATATGTCTCAACTTACGGGGGTATTTAGGAGACTCTCTCTCTCTCTCTCTCTCTCTCTCTCTCTCTCTCTCTCTCTCTCTCTCTCTCTCTCTCTCTCTCTCTCTCT